GGCCTAAGCACAGCCAAAGAGCAAGATACAGACCAACACCGTTCAATCAGCCACGCCGGCAGGCTCTCGGATTTCTTCAATTAAAATTATAGCGTCCTATTTTTGGAGACTTCCTCAAATCGCGTCACATGTTTGTCACTTTGTCTTGAATACGTCGCAGGGCTCAGAGGCTGCCATGTCTGTATCTTTGCCATGGAACAAAAAACCAGCGCCTCGACGGAACTCGGTGGTGCAAACCAAACTCAGTGGCCTGTGGCAGGCATCGGCTTCCACGTTGGGTCAAAATGAGTTGGCCTTTGGCGCGGTATCTGTGAACTTGCCACATCTCAGCGCGCAAATCTCCCCATCTGTCAAATCTGCCAAGAGTAACTTTGTGCGTGGCTTCGCTCACGGAAGTACTCACAATGGGATTCGACTGGAGTCCACTGAAAAACGGAAAGCGACTCTGCTGGGAACGTTGGAAGATGGAGTTCAATATGCCGAAACCTTCAAGGCAGCCTGCCGGCGAAAGTATGGCAATATGACGCGCGCCTGGCGAATTCTGCTGAACCCCGGTGGCAATGGCCGTGTTTCTTTCGTGCCTTTCTGTAATGCCGCACGGTCCATGGAGCTTCGTCAATGTTTCGACGTTGCTTGGACTGGGAATTGGGTGAGAATCCTCAGAAATCACCTGTAGTTGGGTATTCTTGAATGGTAAGAACATGGTTTTGCACAGATTTTCCCTGAAGTCAACACAGTCATGCCCGATTTTGTCACTTGAGTCAACCTGCGGATCTCTTGCCTAGAGTTGATTTGTCAATGCTTTGTGTGCTTACCTCAACATCGTCTTCCAAAAGCGATCTCCAGAATGACAAGCTGTGAAAGCGTTTGCTTGCTGGTCTGTTCGCCTCTGAGTTGTTACAGTGGGTGGTATTTGACACGGATATCATCATAATCATGGAATACACATAATTATATATGATAATGGTCTCGCACTGACTTCGATGATGTCGCTGATAATTACGGCCACTAAAACACTGGCTGCCGTTCATGCCTTTTCATGACCTGACTAGTACAGTACTTGTACTATTTGTACTATGTACAGGGAGGTATGACCTATTTTTGAGCTGGGAGTGTGCGGCCGACGAAATTTTCATGTCTAAGCCAGGAGGTCTGCCCTTTAGCAGTGTTCTTATTTCGATACCCCTTGGTTTGGGCCATGCCTGAGAGAACACACAGCCAGGTTGTGGAGGCACTTGGATGTGAAATCCAGTGGGTTCATCACCTTGGACAACTGGGATCCGCAGGCATTCCGTGTTTTGATGGAATTCAGAGAGACTCTTGGAGGCGAAGTGGAAGTCACAGGAAAAATCTTGGGTAAATTGGGGGAGATCTTTGATCCTCCCAAATTTTGGGGTGTGTTCCCAGGTAGTTTTTGGCATGCGGCTGATACGCCGCCCTTGGAAGGGTTGCTTATTTTGAGATGTGCCATTTACGATCCCGTGGAAGGGTTGCAAATTTGAAAAATGAAGTTTGCGAAAATGGGGGTTCAGGAATTGAATTTCGGCTTTGTTCAACATGTTGCACATGCTCTCTTATGGTCATCAGGGGTGGGTGGGGGGTGTGATAACGTTCTTGACGAGTATGTTACATCTGGACATGGAGTCATTGGGGTCATAATGTCGCCTTGATTCGCCTTGTTGGAGTCTGTGGCAGCGGCGTTGCCGAAAGCACTTTGGCACTGAGGCTTCGGGAAGAGAAAAGACATGGATGGGTTGATGTTTGTATGGGATAATTGAAAATCATAAATTTCTATAATTTTCTAATGTTTTTTTCAACCCTCGAAGAACAAAATCGATTCACGGCGCAGGCGAAACGCACAATTTTGACACTTGAGTCATAAGCCTGCCAATCGAAATGAATGTCCATGTCGCATTTTTTTTGACAAGCCCCACAAATACCAGCATTTTGTCTGTTAGCCTCGAAAATCTCAGTTTCAAATTTGTCACCCTTACAAGGGCGGCGAGTCAACCGGTTGCCTAGTTTTTCTGTAGCTCCAGTGCTTGATAGGATATGCATGGCTCTGTTTTGTTTTTATTTTTTCCCCCTCTGCTTTCTTTACAACTTGATTCCGCAGCTTGACATCTCGTCCAGCCTGCATTTCTTTTGTACAAGCTTCTGAAGACAAAGCGAAGTGGAACCTCCCCAATCACAAAACATGCTGAGCCCCCAAGACTTACATTGGAGAGATCTTTGCCAGCCTTCTGCATTTTTCCAAACGCTCCAAAGCATCAGAGAATTTCGGGAATACTTTGGATGGACTCCTCACCATGGCTTCCACTACTTTTTTTTCTGCTTTTCCCAAGATCTCTGAAAACATAGCAGGACCGGAGCATATTTGTGAAAATGTTTCCAACTCGATTTATGGTGTCTTACAGTGAGTAGAACCAGCCTTTCCTCTACCAGGATTTGCAGATCGGAGTTCGGTGGAATGTCAGAGGCTTTTAGATTTGGGATGAACAAAAACGGCTCTGGCACATGTCACTTGGAGAGCGACCGGGGACATAGGGCTGCCCCAAAATCTGTGGTTCGTCGTCAATTTCCCCATTCAAATGGTCGTAAAATGGTGCTGACAGTGTCAATTCTGGGTGGTTCTTAGAGCAGCATGGGGCGACTTTGAACAGGTGCCTCCAACATCCAACTCATTGGTGCCTCCAACATCCAACTCACTGTGTAGACAACGTCTCTTTGTTTCTTCTGGCTTAAACCACAAGCACCAAATTGAGGTGCAGTCCCTCTATATCTTCTGAAACTAAGAGCGCCAAATTGACAGCCATGCAGAGTAAGCAGAGCATGTCTGTCTTTCCATTTTCAAGTTGCAAGGTTACCGGCACGAGTTCGATCAGTTCCTTAAAGACTTCGAATTTTCGGGCGATAGCCGAGTGCTTTGGGATGCCCTTGACAAGGATGCTGGTGGATTCATCACGGAAGCTTGTCACGTGAAACTGTGGAGTTTAGCCCGCAGTGAAGGTTTAGTGCCAGACTGTTGAGGAATATGAAAAAATGAATAATATATATATATATATACATTTTTTAATGACAATATATTATTATGATAATATATTATTATGATAATATATCATTATGATAATATATCATTATGATAATATTTTATTATGATAATATTATGAATGATGTGAAGTGCAGTTTGATTTGCATTGTGCATGACTTCAATTTTAGTTCTGGTAAAGACGTTTCAGAAAGCTGCATCCTTCAACTTTTAAGACCCGTTGATTCCAGGGTCCGACTGTTGTTTGGTAGGTGCGCACAAACACACCCATAACTCAAACGTATTGTTTGCACCAGATACATGATTAATATTGATTAATAATAATTAATTACGTCTTGTTTCACTGTGTTTTCCATGGGCAGAGCGCCTCCAGGTTGATGAACTGCAATTCTTGTCACGCTGGGAAGGCCAACGTTTCCGTTCCGTCCAGGCGGGTCCGCGATGCTTTCGGTGGGTCTTGTCGCGTCGTGGGCCCGGTGTCACAGGGGATGTTTGTTCCCACAGCTCAGGTGGAAAGGGACTTCAAGTTGGGCCTAGCACGACTGAATATCTGCAAACAGGCCCGACAGAGGCACCGACAGAGGCCGCTTCGCTTGGTGCTTTTTGGTTTTTGGTCAGAAGAAAAGTTGGGAAGCAGTGTGGAGTCCAGTGTGGAGAAGCCTCAAGTAACCAGCATTTCCCATGTGAGGATGAGCGAATTCAAAGCCCGTGTGGAAGATGAGCAAGAAGTTTTGGTGCCTTGGGTCATTCGAGTTGTTTGATGCAGTTCTTTTTTTGATCCTTCCTGTGAGTTGCTTTGGCTTTGTACAGAAAGGACAGTGTTTGTTGCTTCTGTTCGACGCTTTTGTGTTTGGTTGCACTCTGAGGAACGGAATCGCAGCAAACGTGCAGTTTCTGTGAAGCAGTCTGTTCGTTTGATGCAAGCGCCTGGGATGAGTTGGATCTAAGCCTGTGGCGTTTCTAAAATTTCTGTGAAGTTTGTGGGATTATTTTGTTTGTCCCCCAAGAATACTTTGGGGATTCGGGTCAAAACAACATCTCCCTAAGCACGGCCCTATGAACGTTTAGCCACATTATGTCGGATTATAGGGTTGTTGAGTTGGTCACAATAAGCATGACCATGTTGTTCCTTGTGGTTCCTTCCAAGGACAAACTGTTGCAGGAGGAGCAGCCAGCTGTCGCTGAAGTTGACAGTGACGGTGAACTGGATGACGCCAATCCGGATTGGCGTTGGGGCACAGATGACTGCATTTTGTAGAGACAGGTGACAGCCGGTGCCATTGAAATGCTGACTTCAGCACACTACATTCTACAGGTTTTTTTTTTGCCAAGACTATGGGAATTGCAAGATGATTTCGGATGATTCAGTTTTTTGTCCCTTGCCGAAGCAGCACTTTCTTGTTGAAAGTCTCGTTAAACGAGAAGATCGAGAAGTGTAAATAGGCGAGGTGCTCTCGCTCAGAAAATGCTGTGATCAAGGTGGCAACATGTGGGTATGTCTGAAAATGGGGTATACCCCCAATTATAGCCATTTAGTAGGGATAATGATCATTAACCATTGGGTGTAGGGGTACACTATTTTCAGACAAACCCATGTGGCAACTTGGCACCTGCTATCCACATCGATTCGGGTTTTCACAGCCGAGGCGATATCCCTTCCGCTTGAGGCACCTTGGCCATGGAGGCCGGTCATGCTATGGCTGCTATGAGTTATGCTGCAAACTTCGCCAAAAGGTTTAGCGCCATTTACTGTAAAACATATGTATATCTATATATAATATATATATATATATATATATTATGCATCCTTTACATCCAATTACATCCATTTACCACCAAGTGCAAAAGGTTCAAACTTTTTCGAACAGAAATGGATCAACATGATCAACACGTCCTGAAATGGTGGGCTCCACCGCCTTCAGGATCGAACTTTTTCCGAACTGGCATCAAGGCGTTGCTGCTGGGAGGAGTTTCCAGGACTTGGTTTTATGACGCATTCAAGGTATGCAAATGATATATAACTTAATTATGCATCAATTGAAATGCACATGTGCGTACCGAAAATAGTGCATAATTGTTTGGAAACAACGGTCACACACACACACACATATATATATAACTAATATGTGTGTATTGTATATATATATAACTAATATGTGTGTATTGTATATATATATATGGTGCAGCGTTGGCCACCCCCCTCCCCCCCCCCACCACTGGGTATGGGTGGACAGTATCGTCTGGTTCTTCTGGTCCCCCCCCCTGTGGCCTGTGGTGGTGGTATGGTTCTTCTGGTCCCCCCCCCTGTGGCCTGTGGTGGTGGTATGGTTGGCGTGTGGTGGTGGTATGTTGGTATGTTGGTATGTTGGTATGTTGGTATGTTGGTATGTTGGTATGTTGGTATGTTGGTATGTATGTATGTATGTATGTCTGTCTGTATGTATGTATGTATGTATGTATGTGTGTGTGTGTGTAACATCTGAACAGATGTAAAACTTCCTTGACTCTTACCGTTTTACACTTGCAGGGAACTTTTTATATTTGCAGGGGGACTGGAGCCGATTTGCCTATCCAGTCCAACGAAGCTATGGCATTTCGGTGGATGAGTGGTCTGATCAACCACTTGTACCTGCAAAACTTAGTTTGAACTGTTGACCAAGCTGTTACACTGCATTGTTTCGAATCTACACGGTTGCCACAATCTGCATTTTCGCCGAAACCACGTCACGATTTTGTTGCATCAGAACCTTCCTCAGAGCAAGGACGTAGAAAGCATACTTGTAACATTTCGTTTACATGATCGCCGACAACATCGTCGCCGACAGTTATTTATTGGCTAATCTTCGCCGAGGCATCGCCGATGATATTATTGCTGGTTTATTTATTCTTTTTGATGTCGATTCTGAACCCGATGACCATTCTGAAGTACTTCCATTATTCGTAGGATGCATCGTTAATTTCAGTGTTTCGTATTTAATCTGCATGTTTCAGGATTCAGTTCCTGCCGGATCATATAATGATCCATTCTTGTCTAGTGTGATTTCCATGGTGGCTCCGACATGGTGCCATGGAGCCAATTGAGGCAACCCTTTTTAGGGTGAGTGATGACTGTCCCGACTACCGAATTTACGAATTTTAAGTTGGTAATTCATCTAAGTAAGTCGCAACAGTTGGCCTTACGGTTCGTCAACCATTTTGAGATCTCCTGCTGCTCCGGATGTCCCAGGGATCCCAGTGATCTGTTCTTTCAAGTGAAGCCGTGCTGAACTTCGGAAACCTCCGTTTTTTGCAGCAATCTTTGCAGCTACACGAAAACATGTCAAGACATTGTGAACAGGCAGGCACACGTCTTTCAGGTGTGGTGTCTCTTTCTTTTGATGGTTGTCTGGTGAGGTGAAACATTTTGTGCATCTAATTCGTTGGAACTTGGAAGCTGTTTCATGCCATTGCGGCAAGACTTGACCACGGTCCCGGTGCAGGGAATAATCGCACGACTTTTTAGGCATTTAGGGACTGAATCCTGTATGTGATTGTTCACTTTTGTTTTGATCTACTGGAGCGATGCATCCGTGGAACACTCCGCCAACGTCATGGCCTGCTCCACCGCAGCCTGCGAACCCATCTTCGACGTGGCAGCAATCAACGCCGAATGCACATCTATTTGGACATCCCTCGGCCTTGCATCCTACATGGTCATCCTCAGCTTCGCTCATGCCGTCTACATCAACCCCAACATCGTTGCCGTTCACCTCATTGACTTCGGCTCCTCATGCAGTACCAGGTCCACAGCTCGTACCCACCATGCCTTCGCCTTTGGCCCCTGAACCAACTATGGTGCACACCGCTCCGTCGACTTTTCCATCTCCTATGGCACCCACCGCTCCACCCACGTGGCCTTCCCCTCCGGCTCCATCCCCTACATCGACTACACCACCTACATCGACTATGACACCGACACCTTTGCCCAGTTCTCCATACCCACCTCACCACATTCAACCTCCATTACAGATGGACGCATCGACGGTCCCTCCGAATGAGCCTTCACCACGGGCCCCAGCAGTCAAGGCAGCTCCCAGGCATCGCTCTGACAAAAGACCGGATCGACCGCGCAGGCCAGCTCCGAAAGCCCCTCCTCATGCTACACCACCGGCACCTACGACAGCACCGACTTCATCCGTGTCACCTGAACTTGCATCCCTGGGTTCCACTGCACAACAACTGGCTGAATCGGTTCGACTTATTCAAGCTCAGCAACAATTGATCATGGATTCTCAACGAGCACAAGAACAACGTCAACTCCTTCTCCAACAAGATGGACCTCCACCGAATCCTACACCACCGACACCGCCACCTACAACTACACCACCACTGATCGCCACACCTCCACCTGCACCGAAAGCCAGACCCACCGAACCGGACGTTCCGGACCTTCGCATTGTCCCAGCTCCAGCCATCGCTCCTCCTCACCAACCACAAGTTCCACCACCACCAACACGCCGACCACGATCCAGGACTCCAAGATCACGTTCCCATCGACCTTCTGTACATTCCCATCACCATCGCAAATCTCCTCAACGTGCAGCTCGACCTCGTTCTCCTCTTCCTCGTTATCGATCATCCACGAAACACGCCAAGGACCGCCGAACCCCTTCCCCATACAGACGAAGATCACCGCCAAGACGACGCTCTCCTGTGGTTCCTCGACGTCATCGATCTCACCCACGCCCACGCTCCGCGACACCACGTCACCGATCCAGAGGCCGTGAAGTTGTACTTCGACCTGCTGCAAACCCATCCAATCCGAACTACATCCCCACTCCCGACGCTGATGACACCTGGGGTTCATGGAACGAAAGCCACTACACCGACAACTACCATCACCACAATGCTCAACCCAATTCTCCTGCCGATCCACCACCACCGGAACCACCAACTAACCCACCCACTCATACTTCAGCACCACTCGGCGCTGTGTCCTTCCGACTCCCTGACGGCGACAGTGAAAATTCTGAGGTTGCAGATACAATTTCGATCACCAAGTTCGACACGAATGACATCGACCTCAGTGAAATGGTTGAAGCGGCCAATGATCCTCTTAGGGTCCGTTGCCTGACTGAGCTTGGCCCCGATCATGTGGTCCCCCTACGCCAATCATTGACCCCGGCCACCCTGCAGCTCTTCAACCAATTCGTGGACGCCATGTTCGAACAGTTGGCTCAACCATACCGCACCGTCAACAACCATCGTATTTATATTAAAGCAAGCCAAGCCACCGTCAGGAACACTGCCAGGGCCTTTGCACAATCCAACTTACTGGACATCGAGCTCGCGAGGCAAACACAAGCCTTCTACATCGAGCCAGAGAACTTGCTGACCATCACGGTTCCCACAGGATTACAAAAGAAACCAATCTACCGTGGCGAACACATGGGCACCTACCTGATCTACCACAAAACGAGTTGGGAAACAGTTGCCAAAATTCTTGCGGAAAACTGCATTCGCCCGGCAACTTGGACAATGAACGAAGCCGGCATGCCAACTCAATACCCGTGTTACGGGTTCTTCGGAATGTCCTCTGAGATCGCAGACATCGACAACCTACCCGGCTATGCTGTCAAGATCTGTACCTCTCAGCTCTACAAAATTGGCAAAGGACAAAACCCATCAGGCCTGCTGGCCATTTGCCGCTCACCCAAATGCATCCGTGCCCTAGCTGGAGGAAATGACCAAATCCAACGCTTGTGCAACCTTGCGGGCATCGCCAAGGGCAAAGACAATGCAACGGCTATGAACTCCAGCGCCGCATCCATATGCTACGTGGCCTCCACTCACTCGGTTTTCCCGGGCTTGATCACACACCAGACGGCGGAGACCAATGCACCTTCGGAACCTCCTGATGATCATGCACGTCCAGTACGACCTGACCCTCCTGCTGACGCCCCAGAACCTTCGGAGCCACCTCCAGAGGACGCTCGAGATACACCTAGCCACCGTGAGACCGCTGCGTCTGGTTCTCGGGATCATGCTCGCCGACCTTGGCACGACAATGCTTCTTGGGACAATTCAACCTACAGCCGCCGCGATCGCCGTTCCTCATATCATGAAGGCCACTCTCGAGACCAGCACCATGACGGCCGACCTGGTTCTCGACATTCGACCTACCACTCCAGATCTCGTTGGTGAACTCTCTACCTTTGAGGAGCACCGGAACAAGTATCGACTATTCTACGTCAGCGATATAGTGAGCCTAGTGGCCCTGCCCGATCATTTTGGAGTAACAATGCTTCTCCCGACATTCGGTATTGACGCCACTTCTTCCTCAAAAGGTTTGTGTACTGCTGCCTGCTCAGGTTTCTGACCCTTTCGTAAGATTCGTTTTCACTTTACGTTTCACACACTGGGACCTCGTATTATGTTTCACTATTTCATTCGCACACTACCCTTGTCTCACCTCGACATTTTCCGCAGCTTTCAATCGGCAGTTCGAGCTCATTTTGACCTATTATCTCGTGGCCCTTTCTACATCATGGCGTCCCAGGACCTGATCTCCCAATTCAGCGCGGATGTGAATGGAATTCCTCCTTCCCAGCCAGACCGCTCTCGCACACCTCCTCGTCATCAACATGGATGGCACCAAGCAGTACCTACGTTCCGTGGCCCGATGCATTATGCAATGACGACCCATCGTCCTTTTTGGAACCCATCCGGAATACCGCCTCCACCACCTACATCTCCATCGTTCCCAACACGCCCACCATGGACTCCATCTACGGCACCTTTTCCGCCCACACCGCCTCCGTGCTCACAGACACCGCCCAACAATGCCAATTTTGCACCTCAACGCCATCCTTTTACACCGAGATCACCAAGACCTATGTCATCCCCGGGAGCAAGTTCTACTGTCAACGAAGGATATACATGCAGACCAATTGAAATCCCACCAGTCGAGCA